ACTTAATTCGAATTTCATGGTAACGTACATTTCAGTTACGTACATTTCAAATGATCACTTTTCATGTAAAAAATAATTTTTAATTGTGTTAAGCAAAACGTCTTTGCCAGTTTACAGGATACAAGGGGTTGCTTATTCAGAGTCGTCTCATATTTTCTACTTAATATATATTCTTAATGGAAGAATATAGGTAACGTACATTTCTTTCTTATCTCTACGATTGAAAATGTCTTTCATTCCGTAAACATATTTATAAAAGTTACTTAAATTGTTCAATTTCATGTTACATTATCTAAGTAGGAGTAATTAATCCTTTGAAATTTCAAATTTAGCCCATCAATAAATAAAGGAGAACAAAACTATCAGGTGTAGGCCCTACGGGAAATTATGTGCTTATGTTTACGATCCATTTCCATGCGATTTACCTTTGCTGCGACCTTAAAATCGAAAGCGGCCCGGTTCAATTTTCCGGAATTTAAGGCTTATACATGTTCTTTTCAATAGCGTTGTATGTATATGACTGTAAAATCGAGACATATATATCAAAAGCATATACAAGCACAATAATCATGTATTACTTTAGCGATATGTTATAATCAGAAGCTTAAAATTGATAGCCGAAAAGGTTCCAAATAACGTCCTTAAGTGCAGTCATTCTTTTTCATGAAGCTCTAGTGTGCTTCATGAAATATATACAAGATGGCTAAGTGACAATTCAGTCTCTGTGATTTACACACCAATAAATTAAATACTAGTACACAAAGCTTTTAAACATTCTTTTATTAAAGCAATACTCCACCTTGCCAAGGAGAGTGCAGACTTTAAATAGGTAAGTATCTATATGTCACATAGTTGTTCTGTACTTAGGAGTTTTAGTTATCAATGATAATTTTTATTTATACTACATATTTTTAATTTTTTTTCAAATTTACTCAAAGATTTTATGCCAAAGACCTATATGCAGCACATTGCAATGTTTGCCACCACAAAAGTCAAATATTGAAACATTCTTCAAATGTGTTAAATTGTATGAGAAATCATAATTGACAAAAAATGTTATAGGTTCAAAGTAGGTTATTGACAATTTTTGTTTTTGCAACATCACAAACTATTTGACTTTATTTTTCAGAAAGAGGAAAAAATGTATAAAATTTGATGAATTTTTACAATAAAATTCATAGAGTAAAGGCCTGCTCCAGAACAATATTTAAGTATTTCATTGATATCATCATTTTACACATTATATCAAAATATTGAGCTGGAGCAGACCTTCCTTTGGTGATTTTTAATCAAAATATAGACCTAAAATATACCTTTTTCTGTAGAAATCATGAAAATTTTAAATTAACTTCATTTCAAGCATATTACATCATGGCTTTTGAGAATATTCAGTGCTTTGAAGTCTGCAGATATCCCCCTTTTTAAGAACATAATTATATATTTCTTTGTCAAAGTTTACTTTTGTGGCAAATTTTGGTCAGTACCGCATAAAGTCCATGAAATTAGTTCAGAACTTTTCATAGAAGAAGCTGAAAATATCCCAAATGAATGTTAACTAGAACTGTCCAATAGGACAAATACCCCCACTGGGTTTTTCAGAGTAGGTGCCAATTCACAAATATTTATGGATCTATTTCGAGGTATTCACTATTTTCTTAGAAACAATTTGAGTGAAAATATAATTGTTCATTATATTTTTTTAATTAATGAAACTAAGGCGCAACCAAATAAAACATCATAACTAATACATTAAAACAGTTTTTTTTTAATTCTATTCAAAAATAAATTGCAACTATTTGTTATGATAATCTGCAAATTGATTGTTGGAAAAACATTATACAGAATCAAATTAATCTATATAAATTTATATCAAATTCATTATAAAGATAATAAAGTGCACCGCTACAGCATGATACTCCCATCAAATATTGTTCAATTATTATAAACAGTTTAGAATGCAAGAAAATCTTGTCAACCTTTAAAAGATTTCTATAATTTTTCCATTCCTTATAATAATTGTTTAAACATCTCCTGTGGTGTAAGCATTTATTAAAACAAATAATCATCAACTGTTGCATTATAGCTTGACAAATGCCCCTCCTCCACAAATATAAACATGCACACATATCTTCATGTGGACATGATGATATGAAATTGGTCACTTGATATTTTCAACAAAAAAATATTTTAAAAATATATCAATTTAACTAATTAGTCTTAAAAACTTAATCTATACCAAATTGATTTTAGAAATAGGAGACTGGCAATCAAATGACAAATGCTACTTAAACTGACCAGCACTTTTGTCTAATTCCTAAAGGATTCAGACAAGAGCTGCTTGATCGGAGATATGCTCTAAAAGAAATGATTGAGACAGCTAGCTTCCTTGCATAGAACTCATTAATTAATCTTTGACTGGATGCATGTCCACTAATTTATCAAGGGATGAATGGATCTTAACTTTCTCCTGTGCAATGTAATAAAAATACATAACTGCATGTGTCATTCTGAAATAAAATCTGGAAACAAAGATTTTGTATAAATTTGTTACAAAGGTTTATACTGGAAAAAATTTGATGGATCATTTTGAATAAGGTTCCTGCATGATTCTTAGATTTGTAGGGACTATCTACCAAAATTTATTTTTTTTAAAATACTTGATTTATTTTGATTTGATACCTACGGAAGCCCATTCAGGACCTATCGAAAAATATTTTTGAATCCGATATAACGAATTGTCGAATTTGTTATAATGAATTTAATTCGTTATAACAATTTCTTTGAAGTCGTTATAATGAATTTAATCTGTTTAAACAAATTTGTTGATTTTGTTACAACAAATTCAAAAATTTGTTAATACGAATTAAACTCGTAATAACAGATTTTAAAATTTGTTATAATGAATTGAATTCATTTAAATGAATTCCATAACTTGTTTTAACGAATTAAAGAATTATATGCGGTATATTGCATATGTTTGCCCCCACAAAAGTCAAATTTTGAAAACTTCCTGAAATGTGCTGAATTCAATAAATTGTACGAGAAATATAAGTTAACAGAAAATATTATAGTTCCAGAGCAGTGTATTCACAATTTTTGTTTTTATGACGTCACAAACTAGTCCGATTTTATATCCTTTTTCAGGAAGAGGACAAAATGGACAAAATTTCAACAATTTAAGCTTTAGAATTTATAGAGCGCATGTGTGTTCAGGAACAATATTGACATATTTCATTGATATTATCATTCTACACATTATATCAAAATATTAATCCTGAACACACATGCGCTCGGTGACTTTCATTTAAAATATCGACGAAATATGTACATTTTTCTGCAAAATTCATAAAAAACTGAAATTTACGTCATATTTGTGACGTCATTACGTACATATGACGTCATTACTTATGAAATTATTCAGTGCTTTGAAGTCAGCATATACTCCCCTGTTTAAGGACTTAATTAAATATTACTCCATCAAAGTTTGATTTTGGGGGGCAAATGTTGGTTAATACCGCATATAGTTCTTTGTTAAAACGATTTCGACAAATCGTTAAATCGAATTCATATATATTTTCTATAGACATTGGTTATTGAATTTGATTAAACGAATTTAATTCGTTTTAACAAACTTTGGAATATGTTTAAACAAACTGAATTCGTTATACCAAACTTTATAATTTGTTTAAGCGAGTTTAATTTGTTATAACAAATTTTCGAATTCATTTTAACGAATTTAATTCATCATAACAAATTGAAGATTCGTTATAATGAAATCAACAAATTTGTTATAACAGATTAAAATCGTTATAACAAATCTAAAGAAATTGTTATAATGAATTAAATTCATTTTTAAAAAATTCGACAATTCGTTATATCAAATTTCAAAAATATTTTGATAGGTCCTAAATATGCTTCCTTAGATACCAGACTAAAAGTTTCAATCTGAAATTCATATGGAGAATGGGCATGCTAATTCCAATATCCCCCACATACACAGACAATATAATTAGTTTTAATTATATTATACAATATCAATAAAGTTTATTATACAATTTCAAATTAGTTTATTATACAATATCAAATAAGTTTGAAGTTGCTTTTTCTCAAATTCATTAAATAAGTTAGGCTAGTTACTAAAACTATTTAAGGCCGATTCCTTAGCCAAGTTCCCAAGAGACAGATAACAACTGCTTGATCAGAGAGAAGTTCTACCAGTTAGCTCCTTACACTAAACTAATTAATTTTTCTCTAATTTGACATGCAATTTTCTGTTATCAAAATGCTCCTTGACCAGTGCTTGATAATTATACACTTGGGAGAGGTAGATTTTTCTCTTATAAAATAACATTTGTTATGGATTGCTGTTAAGTATATAACCTAGTTATTTTGACGTCTTCCCAAATGGCCTGTAAAAAGGGGAGAATTGTCAAAAATACTTGTAGCATTATGAACTAATGTGTATGAATACGGCTTCCGTACGACTATCGGGCTTGATGGGTTTCTAAGCAGACATGTACCTTATATCGTTGCAACACATGGACTAAATGTACGATCCTTTCCTACTCTAGCCATGGCTGCATGATTTGAGAATATCTTGTTCCTCAGTAAAACATTGACAAGCTTAGTCAGAAATGACCTTTGATTTGATTTTTCATCAGGTAATTCAGTTTACCTAATATTTTTCGTTTATTCATTAAATTTTAATTAAAAATTTTAAAATAAATGTAATTTTTCTTATTGTTAAACATTATGGGAATATAAACAATTATTTTTGTTGGTTTCTAAAATGATTTCACACATCAATGTGAGATCAAGCAGCCACAAGTAGGAGACTAGAGTGCTACATGGGGACTCCGGACCGTGGCTTGAGATAATGGATTCCTAAAGATTAAAATACCATACATATAATGTGTAATTGGATATAGTAAAAAAAAAAATCTAATAGTACAAATGTATAAACCTGTCTTTATCCAGTCATTTAAAACAATTACACAACAGTTTTTAGATTCTTTTATTATGCAGTGTTGGTGTGCGTAATAGTTTACACCCACTTATGCTGTAAAATGTCACCAAAACAGGTTTTATAATTAAACCTACAATACAGTAGACTGTTGGTTTACATCTGTCTCCTTTTAAGCAACGAAATATCAAATACTGTACTCGTACATGTATCAATAATTTGTTCATTTGTAAAAGAAAATTAATGTTCACCCTCTGATTAAGATAAGTATGGAAAATGCAATGTATAATGTAACAAAAAGTCTTATTTTGTAATCCACTCTGATCAAGAGGCAGTGAGTAATACTGGCCACAAAGGAATGCTCGATAAAAATGTCAGCAACAGCTCTGGCTTTGTCATGTGATTGGTGAGTCACTGTTTTTACGAAGAGGCTCGACAATAATGGGGAATGATTCCTCCGACGACACAACCACAGCATCCCCACTTACATTGATCAAACACTGACTCTGTAAGATAAATAACTCAATTGAATTTTAAATTTTCTAATGTTAAAATCTTAATACAATGGATACCGGTATATCAAAGTTAAATACCAACCCAAATATATCCAATCCCAAATAATGAATTAGATACATTACCTTTTGTCAGTTCCACCGAGTTTGACATAAGCAGGTTGAATTGTCTTTTTAGAAACTTAAGGGATTCAAAAGAATTAATGAAAACTTAATATATTTTAAAAAATGTTTTGCAATTTAAACATTTTCACCAGGGGAACTATGCAGGTTGTTTTACATTATTAGTTTCACAGTCAGTTAGTGACCTAATATGGATTCATACAGGGATTTCCATTTCACACCCTGTATGAATCCGTATTAGGTCACTAACTGACTGTGTTACGAAATTATCCCACTGAAGACCTTTTTCAACATAAAAAAAATATTTGTGCACATTATGAAAATATTAAGTTTTAATCCATTAACAATCAACATGAAATATCGTTACGGTAACAAGAAATTTAACTAAACTACCTACGTAAACCATTTCTTAGCCGCCAATTTTATTTACAATAACAACGCTTCGAATGGAATCGTGTGCCCAATTTTCATATTACACCTCGACACAGATGTGATACGGAAAATTTCAGGGCATCACGTGATTAGCTTTTATCCAATCAGCAATCTACAAATTTGTCTGAAGCGGGATAATTACATCTATTAAGTTCATGTAACTGAACTTGAGGAATGTTGCGTACCTGGTTTTTGTGTGGATTACACATCAGAACACATTGGTTCATTCTATAAGACACTAATCCATTCCCTCCAAGAGAGGCTACATTAGCTCTCACATTGGCCATCACCTCGGCAACAAACGTCTGCATAAATCCTCCTTGTCCTCCAATCTTACAAA